CCGCCTGCCCCGAGCCCAACCCCATCAAGAAGAGCCCGGTGCAGTCCTGGCTGCAGCCCACCCACTCCACCCCGCACAGATCTGGGGGCACACATCTGGGCCCCTCCCCCCGTGCCCTCCCCTTCCACCACAACAGACTTACCAGCTGGACGCAGCTGTATTGGAATCAGATCAGTATTGGCCGATATGCCTCCTTAAACATCGGCTATTGGTATCGGCCCCCAAAATCTCTATCGGTGCACACCTATGATTTTCAAAAGCTAAGATGTTCAGAAAGGCAAAATGAATCTCAACTAATCTTCAAAAGGACAGAATTCAGGAAAAGAAACAGAGAGGGCTGCTGCCTCCAGGCTCTCGACAGGGAGAGTCAGTTCAATTTTATAAAAGTTGGCTCCAGAAAGGCCCCAAAGTTACCAGGTCTCAGTTTTAACCTGTCAATTGGGTGGTGCATGAATAGCCAGAGTTTTACAATTTCCACCAGTAGCTGCAATGCCAGCTCTCATGCTTCGTGCCCTGAAATATCTGGTATTTTTCATGAAGCCCCAGGCCTGCAGAGTCATACAATTATGCAAGAATATCTACTTTTACATGAAAAGTGACAGCAAGCTTCTAACCCTGCTTGTTTCCAAGCTTCCCTTTGCAGCACAAACCCCTAGAAGCTCAAATATTAGAAAACAAGTTAAAAAGCCAGAACTTTACTGCTTTTTGATAGAGTCGTCATTTTCTTGCTGCCTGAAAGGCCTCATATTTAAGTGCCTGGAGTTGGCAATGCTGCCATTTTAGTAATCTCTGTCAGCTGAGTCACTAAATATCGAACCTAAACTCCAGCCCTGACGGATGCTCCACTCCCACCTAAGTCAATGGTCACCAAAGAAGGTTGTTGCCTCATAGTATTTAGGACCCTTCTAATGAAATTGGCCACCATACACCAGAGCTTTTCAGGTACCACTGCAATGATGCTTCTTGCTGGAAGAGAACGTCCTTATCAAGAGAGATACAACAGCACCTGCGCACTCCTGAATCATTTTATAACCTTACCGGTTTCAATTTCTTCTGGTCTCCACCTCTCTTTTCATTCTTTTTAAAGGTTTCGTACATGGTAGGATCAATACACCATAAACATTCTGTCCATTTACCATAGATCACAGAGAGCTTCTTTTTGCTGTTTAGAGAAGAAAGAACACTTATTTTTCTGCAGTTTCTATAAGACTTCCTAACGAAATGTAAATTCGCGTAACCTAATCTAGGTTTTTTGAGGGGCCTTCTCTCATGATTTCTGGTGCAGAATTCTGGGAAAACGTTTATCATAATATAAATGCAAAAGATTAATATTTTAGTTTAGTTAAACATTTCTGGTATTCAGCCCTACAGCTTGGAATGTACCCTCATTAGCCAGCCGTCAGTCCCACCCTTTCTGCTGCCTATGCTGCTTATCCAGTAGTAGGAACTGGAGACTGAACAGGGACTGAAAAAACAATTAAGCAGCAAGAAGGCCTGCTTTTATTGTAGTGGCTGTGTCTGTCAGGTTTGTTCTGCTTTGGAATACTGAAGCAGCTCTTTTGATCAGGATTTGGCAGAAACTAGGTCATAGATAACAAGGATGCTTGTTATTTATGACTATAGTCCTCAACAGAGAATAGTTTTGGTTAAGTTCCTTAAACTGCTTGTGGAAAGAGT